GCTATAGAGGAGCAATGTGGGATGAAGGGAAGGATGGATTTGACTATAGAGGAGCATTGTGGGAAGAAGGGAAGGATGGATCTGACTATAGAGGAGCATTGTGGGAAGAAGGGAAGGATGGATCTGACTATTGAAGAAACAATCTATGGAAAATCTAAATATCCGCATTGTGTCCTCTGCACGGGAAGAAGACTTCACAGGCTGATTCACAATCTCTCTGCGGCTCTCGGCATCTCATAAATCACGTCTCTGCGCTCCATTCTGCGTTCCATACCAGCGCCGCACAATGCGTACCGCGCTCCGGAGCACTGTCCCGTGCAGCATGGAGCGCGTCCCAAACTAACATGATTATCCGTCCCGGGAACAGAGTGACAATGACAAATCCTCTGACCTTCAGGCTTCCCGCTCCCACTACGCCGCGCATTCATTATAAGCTGGATGTCCTTTACAGGACTCTGGAAATTATATATGCGCCGTCTCCCCGAGTGATGGAAATACGGCGAGATTCACCCCGGCGATTTTCTTCTGCTCGGGTGGAGGATGAGATCCAACCATACATGAAGTAGTACCAATGGCTAAAGAGTCCGCCGTGATGTGCTATCAAATAATTGATTGAAAGATAGCCAACGCGTTTCGATGGAGCCAATGTGTCTTAAAGTGACACTAAACTCCGGAGTTACATCTTAAAAATCCCTCCGAGTCCCTGAACTCTGAACAACAATGAATCTTATTTGTGTGTCACTCGGCTGGAGATCCTCCAATCATCTCTGACACTGTCCTTCCTTCTGGAGGGGGGCTATGTCTGTTCCCCATGGTCCCTGTGTGTGTTGTAGAGTAGTCACCGCTCCAAGCTCCCTCCCGGGATGGACTACAATCTCAGGTTTAGTTGCCTAATTTGTATGGAGATTGTAGTCCATCCCGGGGGCGGAGCTTGGAGCGGTGACTACTTTACAACACACACAGGGACCAGTGTAGCCTCCAGGTGGGACTAAGAATCAGGTGAGTGTATCTACTTTTATATTTTAGAGTCAAACCAGCAGTTAACCCTTCCAGTGCGGGGGTAGAATCACCACAAGGGTAAGTTATTATTATTATACAGGATTTATATAGCGCCAACAGTGTGCGCAGCACTTTACAATATAAGGAAGACATTACAATCACAATACAATTCAAGACAAGATGGTAAGGAGGGCCCTGCCCCTGAGGGCTTACAATCTAAAAGGGGAGGGGCCAGTGATACATGAGGAGGGAGCTGTGTGGGGATGCATTGTTTGGATGTGATGGTTGAGCGGTTAGGTTGAGGTGAGATCGGCTTCCCTGAAGAGATGAGTCTTAAGGGAACGCCTAAAGAGAGTCAGAGTGGGAGATAGACGGACAGGTTGGTGTAAAGAGTTCCAGAGGATGGGGGAGACTCTAGAGAAGTCCTGGAGGCGAGCATGGGAGGAGTGGACGAGGGAGCTGGAAAGCAGGAGGTCTTGGAAGGAGCGGAGTGGACGGTTAGGGTTATACTTTGAGACGAGGTTGGAGATATAGCCGGGGGCGGAGTTGTGGATGGCTTTGTAAGTCATTGTTAATATTTTGAATTTTACCCTTTGGGCTATTGGAAGCCAGTGAAGGGATCGGCAGAGAGGGGTGGGGGATGGAAGGCAGTGGAGGGATTGGCAGAGAGGGGTAGGTGATGGAAGGCAGTGGAGGCATTGGCAGAGGGGGGTGGGGGATGGAAGCCAGTGGAGGGATTGGCAGAGAGGGGTAGGTGATGGAATAAGCCAGTGGAGGGATTGGCAGAGGGGGGCAGGGGATGGAAGCCAGTGGAGGGATTGGCAGAGGGGGGCAGGGGATGGAAGCCAGTGGAGGGATTGGCAGAGGGGGGCAGGGGATGGAAGCCAGTGGAGGGATTGGCAGAGGGGGGTTGCAGAAACGGAGCGGTTGGTTAGGTGGATGAGTCTAGCAGCTGCATTCAACTGAAGGGGGGAGGAGCCTGTGTAGAGGTCGACCAATGAGGAGGGAGTTGCAATAGTCTTATAGTTGCAATAAGTTCTATTAAATTCCTGGAGTTCCTCTTTAACATACAACTATATATCTGATGACAGGTCCACTTTAATAACCCCCCGCCCCCCATGTTTTAGGCATATTTCTGAGCTGCGGCTTCTATATTTATAAACATCTTTCTTCGCTCTGTAATTGTGACCGGATCGTCAATGCGCGAGGTACGCTGATTATTGGCGCCGTTCGGCTCGAAAAACCCGACCTGTGAAATGCAAATGAAGTCGTCTGGCTGATGAGGAGTTTACTTCGTATTTAGCCGTTTATCAGAACGCGAAATGAGAACGCGGTTTTCGCAAATTGTCAGTTTAACGCGAGAAATGTTTTATGGTAATGAGGAGCTGAACGCGCCGCCGTTTCCAACCGACCGACGCAACGCAGCCTGGAAGCGACTGGCGGAGCAGCCGGAGTGTGCCGCGGAAACCACGGGGAGGGGGAATCTCAGGTTTGGGATTTAGGTAGCGAGATGCGACGCCGACTGTCCGGCCGGCGTTTATCGTAAACGCCGTTCCTCGTTTCTCCGGAGAGTTCCGCCGGCTGATGAAAAAGTTGGACACAATTTGAGACTTTCCTCAAGTAGCGTGGAGTGCGTTACTGACGTTTATATTTATATCAATGTATGGACACCACGAATCTGTGTCTCGGTATGTCTGGTATCACGTCTCATATAGCTTATTAACCCTTCATGGCCGCCTTACACACATATATGTGACATGGGGGACGTGGGCGCTCCACCCGGGAGCCACTTGTATGTGCGTATGTGTTTGTGCTTCAAGCGCGCTCTATGGTGCCCCCCACAGCATGGAGACTGAACTGTCACTGACCTCGCTGGGTCTCATACTAACGAGCAAGAGGACCAGCATCCTGATCACATGATCACTCAGATGGTCTGTGATTGGCTATCACAGTGATTGCCAGCTGTAGAACCCTCCCAATCGCATTCTGCTGTGTGAGTAGAAAGTGATACATTGTATCCTCGTGTCCTCCCTGGAAGAGAAGAATGGCAACAAAGAGAGAAAGAAAGTAAATAGCTGGATCAGGGTCCGATCTAGGTCAGTGTTAGTGTTAGTATCAGTGTCAGTATTAGTACCAGTATCAGTATTAGTGTCAGTGTCGGTATTAGTATCAGTGTTAGTATCAGTACCAGTGTCAGTATTAGTACCAGTGTTAGTATTAGTACCAGTGTTAGTATCAGTGTCGGTATTAGTACCAGTATCAGTACCAGTGTTAGTATCAGTACCAGTGTTAGTGTCAGTATTAGTACCAGTGTTAGTATCAGTGTCAGTGCTACTACCAGTGTTAGTGTTAGTATCAGTGTCGGTATTATTACCAGTATCAGTGTTAGTATCAGTACCAGTGTCAGTATCAGTACCAGTGTAAGTATCAGTACCAGTGTTAGTATCAGTGTCGGTATCATTGTCAGTGTCCAGTGTTAGTACCAGTATTAGTGTCAGTACCAGTGTCAGTATCATTGTCAGTACCAGTGTCAGTATCAGTGTTAGTACCAGTATTAGTGTCAGTACCAGTGTTAGTATCAGTATTAGTGTCAGTATCATTGTCAGTATCTGTGTTAGTACCAGTGTCGGTATTAGTACCAGTGTTAGTATCAGTACCAGTATCAGTACCAGTTTTAGTATCAGTACCAGTGTCAGTATTAGTACCAGTGTAAGTGTCAGTATCGGTACCAGTATCAGTACCAGTGTTAGTTTTAGTATCAGTGTCAGTATCGGTGTAAGTATCAGTGTCAGTATTGGTGTAAGTATCAGTGTCGGTGTCAGTATCGGTGTAAGTATCAGTGTCAGTATTAGTACCAGTGTTAATATCAGTATCAGTGTCGGTGTCAGTATCGGTATCAGTGTCAGTATCGGTGTCAGTATCAGTGTCAGTATCGGTGTCAGTATCAGTGTCAGTATCAGTGTCAGTATCGGTGTCAGTATCGGTGTAAGTATCAGTGTCAGTATCGGTGTCAGTATTTTTGTAAGTATCAGTGTCAGTATCGGTGTCAGTATTGATGTAAGTATCAGTATCGTTGTCAGTATCGTTGTCAGTATCGGTGTAAGAATCGGTGTAAGAATCGGTGTCAGTATCGGTGTCAGTATCAGTGTCAGTATCGGTGTCAGTATTGGTGTCAGTATTGGTGTCAGTATCAGTGTCAGTATCAGTGTCAGTATCGGTGTAAGTATCGGTGTCAGTATTGGTGTCAGTATTGGTGTAAGTATCGGTGTCAGTATTGGTGTAAGTATCAGTAACGGTGTCAGTATCAGTGTCAGTACCAGTATCCGTATCGGTGTAAGTATCAGTGTCAGTATTAGTGCCAGTGTTAGTGTCAGTACCAGTATCCGTATCGGTGTAAGTATCAGTGTCAGTATTAGTGCCAGTGTTAGTGTCAGTACCAGTATCAGTATCGGTGTAAGTATCAGTGTCAGTATTAGTACCAGTGTTAGTGTCAGTACCAGTATCCGTATCGGTGTAAGTATCAGTGTCAGTATTAGTACCAGTGTTAGTGTCAGTACCAGTATCCGTATCGGTGTCATTATTAGTACCAGTGTTAATGTCGGTGTCGGTGTCGGTGTGTTTTAGGTAGGATAAAAAAAAAAGAAGAAAAAAGTAAAATCTCTGCCATTGTTCCGGAGCCCGGCGCGGGTGCGTCTGACGAGGAGCGCACACATATGTGGTATCGCTGTGAGCGTCAGGAGTAGAAGAGTTTATTTGGGGGGTTTCTTGGTGGGGGGGGGTGATGATTTTAACAGCTAAAATGTTTTTTGTTTTGTGTGGTTTTCCTGGGTGGGGGGGGGGGACGGATACATATCAGAAGGTGACCCAGAATTGGGGTATTATCCACCAGAATTGATGTCGGGTTCAGTCTTATCGGAGTTCTCCTTTGATAACGGTCTTGTTTGATTGGTGGGTCAGATCTCTCCCCGTATAACCGTCTCTCCCGTCTCTGTCCTCCGCAGGGCTGGACGACTGCTTGCAGCAATACATCAAAAACTTTGAGCGAGAGAAGATCAATGGAGAGCAGCTACTACACATCACCCACCAGGAGCTGGAGGAGCTCGGAGTCACCCGGATCGGCCATCAGGAACTCATACTGGAGGCCGTGGACCTGCTGTGCGCACTGGTGAGCACCGCTATGTACTGGGGGGGGGGGGTCTTATACTATCCCCATCATCCTTTGCACAAATGCTTTGTATGTTAGTTTGATGCCGGAGAACCTTCCCTGGCTGATGTTGGCATCTTCAACAGTGTTCAGATCTTTGGCAGATTTATCACGAGTCGTATTATCGGCTTGTTGGAGTACAGTATTATGATTAGCAGTGGTCAGACACGCCCACCTAACATGCACCTCTATAGTCAGACACACCCATCTGGTCAGACACGCCCCCTCTAAGGTCAGATCTGCCCCTCTATAGTCAGACACACCCATCTGGTCAGACACGCCCCTTCTAAAGTCAGATCTGCCCCTCTATAGTCAGACACACCAATCTGGTCAGACACGCCCCCTCTAAGGTCAGATCTGCCCCTCTATAGTCAGACACACCAATCTGGTCAGACACGCCCCCTCTATGGTCAGACCTGCCCCTCTATAGTCAGACACACCAATCTGGTCAGACACGCCCCCTCTAAGGTCAGATCTGCCCCTCTATAGTCAGACACACCCTTTTGGTCAGACATGCCCCCTCTATGGTCAGGCACACCCATCTGGTCAGACCCGCCCCCTCTATGGTCAGACCTGCCCCTCTATAGTCAGACACACCAATCTGGTCAGACATGCCGCCTCTAAGGTCAGATCTGCCCCTCTATAGTCAGACACACCCTTTTGGTCAGACACGCCCCCTCTATGGTCAGGCACACCCATCTGGTCAGACCTGCACCCATCTGGTCAGACCTTCCCTTCTATTGTCAGACACACCCAATTGGTCAGACACGTCCCCTCTGTGGTCAGACATGCCCTTCTATGGTCAGACACACCCATCTGGTCAGACACGCCCCCTCTGCGGTCAGACTCACCCATCTGGTCAGACACACCCATCAGGTCAGACACTCGCTCACTCTTCCATCCCACTACAAGTCTGCATGAGGACACGTGTGATAAGGGTTGTGGCTCATATTATTTTGCACTAGCATTCGTACTGAAGGGGGAGAATGAGAAGTGTAGTTTTACTGAGTGATGAGGTTATTTAAATACTTTTTTCAGGTAAAAATTAGTTCAGTGTAACCTCCGAACTACACCCCTCCCCCAACTGTTACCTTAACCCCCTCCCCAGCCAATCATTGGCCCCAATAGCCACCTATAGTCACGTGAAGCTCTGGGTTGCTTCCCATTGGCTGCTCATCAGTGGGGTACTCCCAGCTCCTGAAGACTCCAGCGATGGCCCGCTGATGTCATGACAAAGGGCAACGTCAAGACCAGTCAGCAGTGGGCCCCTGACTGCAGCGCTTGGTCTCCGGTCTTCACTCCTGGGAGAGGCATCGCAGAGGGTCATGTGATAACAGACACAGCCATGTAAAACACATGTTGGATGGGTGGGCGGGACTGAGGGGGCTGCATTGATCAGAGACCGGCTTCACAGATGATAACATGTGGTGCTCAAAAACTATAAAGGGAAGCGGAAGGAATGAGACCTTTAAAGCAACCCTACCATCGAAAACAATATAGTCCATTTCTGAAAATGCTCTCGTGTCCCGGCTACCACGGTGACCCTCTTCCTAAATATCTTGTGTCATTGACTCCCAACAAGAACGCAGATAAGGACTTTACACTTGCCTGCTCTGTTCCTCCGGGGAATTAGAGGTAATTCTCCTTTAAGGAGGTCAAGGCGCGATGTATGAGGACCTGGTTTCGGTCCCAGGCGGATGAATCGCTCAACAGATGAACTGTTCCTGCCTATGGAGCTGGGACGGCATTGTGAAAATTTGGTCATGCAGCTTCGTGACCCGTATCACATGCATATCGGTTCGGAAGGTCAAATACAGCCGACGCATTTTGGGGTAAAAGCCTCCCCCTTCTTCAGGTCTGAAACCAGTGGCGTAACAATCACCATAGCGACTCAGGCGGCCGCTATGGGGCACTGGGGGCCCCAGCCAGGACAACCGTGCGGGCCGCCTGGGTCGCTATGGCATTTCAGGCTGCTGGCTGTCACTGGCGGCTGTGAGGAGAAACATGGCAGCCATTCACATGTGCAGCGGCGCGTACCGCCTCACAGCTGCTCAGTCGATGACAACCAGTAGCTTCAGGGGAGGTGGATGGGCCCGTCATCGGCAGCGATGGAGGAGGCGGGGACCAGCGATCGAAGAGGCAGGTCTTAGCAATGGGGAGGCAGGCCTGGCGATCGAGGAGGCGGGGCCCAGTGACGGAGGAGGTGGGGCCCCGCAAGCGATCGTGGAGGAGAAGGAGGCGGGACAGAGGATCGGCCAGACAGGTAACAGGGCTTGACCGCCCACCTGAGACCCTGCAGTGCTCACCATAGAGAGTGTATGGTGGGCACTGCCGGGTCACCCTCAGGTGGGCTGTTTGGGTTATCAGGTGGACTTATCTAGAAATCACGGGGCCCCATACAAAATTTTGCTATGGGGCCCTGTGATTTCTAGTTACGCCCCTGTCTGAAACGTATGATTTCTGATGAAATCCAAACAAGGTTCATTAAAATCAGCACAGGAGCCGGGTGCCATCATTGTCAGGAGGAAGACGCCTTCGGCTCATGACAGGTTCCCTTTCACTGATCCCTATTCTGCCATAAGATTGGCGTATTAACATTTCCATGCGGCTTCCTCATAACAATTGTGCTTCGAGTTTTCCCCCCCGTACAATGTCTAATCTTATTTTTTTTTTCATGCACATGTGGCAGATGGCGGGGGAGCGAGCGATGACGACAAAGGAAGCAATTGAGTGATTATCCTTCTCTGTCGAGCTATCTTGGTCCTGACAGCCTCGTGTTTCAGTGCCGCTGAGCGCGCCTTGTGACACGCAGCCTGATATTAATAGGCGAGCGGGAAGGGCAGGAGATGGAGGAGATCTATGGCGGTCATCTTCTGGAATGTTCTCCAGCGCAGGAAAGCAAAGACTGAGAGGAAATAAATAAGAACAGAATTCTATAACTATAATATACAGGAGTGACATCACAGCTCCCCAGATATTATTGCTTTGTCTGCCTATTATCCATAGCAATGACCAAATTTAAGAAAATCCCCCCACCCCCATAGGCTTCAGTGTGATTTGCCTCTAAGTTTGGGTTCGCTGATTCTTGACCATGGCTCGATGATCCCTTGGTGGATCGAACATCGAACAGATTTGCCCGTCACTACTATCGGTTATAATATACAGGAGTGACCTCACCGCCCTCCATTGTTATATTTTATTGGGAAATTCTGAAGCTACTGGGGAGTGATGGTAGACCAACAATTCCTAACCAGGGTTTTTGGAGCCCTAGACATCTTCAAGAGGTTCCTTGAGCAGCAATTTCTGGCTCTCAGATAAGTAACCACTGACACCAATGAACTTTTAAGCTATCTACATTCTTCCCATTGACCACCAATATCAAGTTTATAATGCCCGTTGACCACCAATGTGATGGGGCCCCTTCTCCCACTGACTACCTGTTTCGGGGTGCCCTTCCTCCACTGACCACCAATCTCAGAGGCCACTCTTCCCTATGAACCAATGTAATGGGTCCATCCCTCATTTACCACCAGTCTAAGGGGCCCTGACCACAAATGTAAGGGGTCCTTCCCCTACTAAACCATCAATGTAATGGCTTCATCACCCACTGGCCACCAGTCTAATAGGCCCTGACCACCAATGTCAGGGGTCTTTCCCCTACTGACCACCAATGTCAGGGGTCTTTCCCCTACTGACCACCAATGTCAGGGGTCTTTCCCCTACTGACCACCAATGTCAGGGGTCTTTCCCCTACTGACCACCAATGTAAGGGATCCTGCCCCTTCTCACCACCTATGTAAGAGAGTCCTTCCCTCTACTAACCACCAATGTAAGGGATCCTTCGTCTACTGACCACCAATGTAAGAAAGACTGCCCCTACTGTCCACCAATGTAAGGGATCCTTCCTGTAATGGCCACCAATGTAAGGGATCCTTCCTGTAATGACCACCAATGTAAGGGATCCTTCCTGTAATGACCACCAATGTAAGGGATCCTTCCTGTAATGACCACCAATGTAAGAAAGACTGCCCCTACTGTCCACCAATGTAAGGGATCCTTCCTGTAATGACCACCAATGCAAGGGATCCTTCCTGTAATGACCACCAATGTAAGAAAGACTGCCCCTACAGTCCACCAATGTAAGAGGGTCCCCCCCCCCCTACTAACCACCAATGTAAGAGGGACTTCCTCTACTGCCCAACAATATAAGAAGTCCTTTTCCTACTGACCACCAAATTTCAAGGGTTCCTCCATGTTGCAGAGGTTGGGAAAGTCTTTGGTAGACTAATGAAATGCTATATGATACGAGACCATTTCTTATCTCCGTTCTGTAATCATTGTCAGCCTACTAAAAGGGATCCCTTCCTCTAAAGTGTATTTCAGGGGGACTGTGATGAACATATTCAGATCATCAGGTTCCTCCTTATCATATCACGTGGAGTATCCTGCGGAGAAGATGGAGGTCTTCTGGCTGATGTTAGGCCTGGAAGCGCTGTGTAGGCAGCCAAGGTCTTTGGGGACAGGACAGGAGCTATTTTTAGAACGCTGCGCTTGCAGGTTTATTTATAGAATAATATCGCAGACGTGCAATGTATCCGCCTTTTAGGATGTACATTTTACCGTCCGCGTTATAGAGAAGGAAATGAAAGCCTGCGCTGAGATTAGACTCCCGCCGCTCAGGATGGGGCTTGTGGTTAGAGACGTGCTGCAATACCAGAAGACAAATGTTGCGGCTATTTATAGATCGTTGTATAGTAAGTCTCCGCCGCTGATGTGGTGTGTCAGCTCCGGGGGCAGAGGACACTCAGGATCTACTAGAATTGGGGTGCAGAGGGATCTATCACCCAGCCCACCCCCATAGTCATACTCCAGATGTGTCTGGAAGGGGGAGGGGTTGATCTGGAAACAGTTAAAATTTCATCTTAAAACATCTTAAAAATACATTCAAGAACCTTAAATAT